AAAATGAAATCGTGAAATTTGGAGGCAAACGGATGGAACTAGGGACAAAATCCTAAAAGAGGTAATCCAGCCCATAAAGACAAAGAAGGTGTGTACTCACTCATACGTGGATATTGGCTGTTAAGTGATAACTATGCTAACTCCACAGACCCAGAGAAGCTAAGTAACAAGGAGGGCTCAAGAGGGGACAAATGGATCTCCTAGAAGGAGGAAATGGAATATATTTTGCAGATGGACTGTGCAGGTGGGGATGGGAGCAGATGCAGAGGCCCATAGCCAAACATTAGGCAGAGTTAGCCCAAGTTGGAAGTCTCCACTGGGTCCCCCTTGGAGCTCAGGGAACCCCATGTAAGAGGGGAGAAGGAATTGTGGGAGCCAGAAAGCAAGGCCTGTGGAATCAACTAAGCGAGACTCTTGGGGTTCACCAAGACTGACGTAACTATCAGGGAGCCTGCATGATTCTGCACTAGATCTCCTGCATACATGTTGTTTGCTGACTTGGTGTTTGCAGGAGATTCCTGACAGTGGGAATAGAGGTCTCTGACTTTTTTGCTGATTTGAACACCCTTTTCCTCCTTCTGGGTTGCCTCATCCAGCCTTGACATGAGGTTTTGTGCCTGGTCTTATTTTATCCTGTTGGGTTATGTTGATAACCCAACATTATTATATCCCAGTTGATATCCCTTGGAGGTCTGTTCTTTTCTGGGGGGAGATGGGAGAGGCCTAGTGGATCTGGAAGGGAAACTGGGAAGAGTGAAGGGAAGGGAAGCTGCAGTCAAGGATGTATTATATGAGGGAATAAATAAAAATTAAAAAACAAACTAGACATTGAGAGAGGAGTGTGGGGATGTGGAGGAGTCGGAGTGGGTGGTAAGGATGAATATGATCAAATGCATTGTACACATGAATAAAATCCTCAAAGAATAATTTTTTTAAATATTTATTTATTATGTATACAATATTCTGTCTGTGTGTCTGCCTGCAGGCCAGAAGAGGGCACCAGACCTCATTACAGATGGTTGTGAGCCACCATGTGGTTGCTGGGAATTGAACTCAGGACCTTTGGAAAAGCAGGCAATGCTCTTAACCTCTGAGCCATCTCTCCAGCCCCCAAAGAATAAATTTTAAAAATTTAAAAGATCTCTCTAGGTGCTGGAGAGATGGTTCAATAGTTGAGAACACTGTCTGCTCTCCCAGAGGAGTCAGGCTCAATTCCTAGCTACCACAGAGTGGCTCAGTACTGTCTGTAACTCCAGTTCCAGGGGATCCAACATCCTCACACATGCAGAAAAAAAACACCAATGCACATAAAAATAAAAATAAATCAATCGTTTTTAAAAGGATCTCTCCAAGGGCAGGAGAGCTCGCTCATCAGTTAAGGCCACTGACTGTTTTTCCGGAAAACGCACCCACAAAGTGGCTCACAGCTGCCTATAATAACTGCAGTTCCAGGGGATGGGGCTGCTTCCTCTAACTTCCGTGGACACCTACATGCTGCGTATACAGACTGGCTGGCTAACGAATCGCACACATTAAAAAAAAAAAAACTTTAAAAAGAAAGAAGATGTTGTTAGAATTCAAACAACTGAGCTATTATGTAGCTCTGTTGGTAGTGCCTGCTCTTCATGAAGCCCGGGATTTGATCCAAAACACTGCATCAAACAAGTTACAGGGGTGCATACAACCCAGCACTCAGGAGGTGGAGGCAGAGGGGTCTGGGTTCAAGGTCATCAGCTATGGAGTGAGGTCAAGACTAGTGTGGGGTGCATGAAATCTTATCTCAAGAAAATGGTGGCTTACACCTGAAAATGTCATGAAAATGTCATGAAAATGTCAGAAAATGTCATGGCTCACACCTGTAATCCCAGCCCTGGGAAGCCTGAGGCTGGAAGGTTGCTGTGATTGAGGAGGGCACCCGGGAGGTAAAGGAGGTAGAAGCACCTGCTGCTGAGCCTGAGAACCTCAGGCTGGCCTCCGACCGCGGCTTGAGTGTCGCACTCACCCATGTACACACAACACCAGATTAAATCCTTAAAATGATAGAGTAATAAGCAAACAAAATATAACATACAAATTTTAAAAATAAAACATTCAACAACTGCAAACTGAACTTTAAAACCATGTAAGTCAAGACAAATGCCGAGAGAGAGAGAGAGGCCGCTAATGTTGCAGCTTTAATATGAAATACCAATTCCCAGAATCATATTAAACCTGAGTGTGGGGTTTTTGTTTGGCTTTTTTCCTGTTCAGTAACGCCCATCCCAGGCTCTAGCATCTCTGTTGGAACCGGCACATCCTCATGACTGTCATTTTATGTGAAGGTTTGTGTCTGGCACTAGGTTCATAGATGCTGGGCTCCTGCCTCCCTTGCGGGTAGAGACCTGGAGAATTGGAGTGGAGGGCATCAACAGAAAGAGAGGTCAGGACAGAAAAGAGAGGAAGAGGCTGCTGGAGGTCATTATCTGACCGAGAGGGGTGGTGCTCCACTAGGGAGGGGTGGTGCTCCACTAGCTGGTCAGTGTCCCATTTCCCAAAGCATTAGGAGCCACCCACCTCTGGTCCTGGCTCTTGGCCTCTTTTTCCATTAACAGATTGCCCTGCCCAGCTGTGTCATCCATGTCTGGCTGTGCCAGCTGAGCCAGGGCACCTGGTGGGGGAAGCCTGCTTCCCTGCCTCTTGCTGACCCCTGGCCTGGGACCCGGCATGGGGGCCAGGAGTGGATCCTGGGTGTTAACCACAAATGGTCTTGTCTCCCCTGCCCAAATGTCAGGAAGAGGGACACAGCAACAGAAAGGGATAGGAAACCAATATTCAGAGATGAGAGACAGAGAGAAAAGACAGACAGACAGGGAGAGCAAAAAACAGAGAAAGCCAGAGACAGACACACAGAAAAAGAAAAATCAGAGAGAGGCGGATGAAAAGAGCGACAGTACAGACACCAACAGAGAGAGACCCGGTGCACAGGAGGTAGAGACAGAGAGATGGGGACAGAGAGATGGGGAAAGAAATGCTGATGACAGACTCTGAGAGGTCCTGTGAGGGCTGACAGCTAGCTCACAAGGGAGAATTTTAAAAGCAGACAAGACTGGGAGGAGAGATGAGGAAAGAGACACAGATAAGATGAGTGAGTGAGTGTGGCACAGAGAAAAGGAAATCAGGAACCCTTGCTCCAGAAGAGCAGCTCCGAGCTGGTGAGAAGCCAGGTGCCAGGAGGGCCTCCCTGCCCTGAGGACCCCTCCCCATCCTTGGGGCCAGGGAGGGAGGGAGTGGCACTGGGCACTGGGTGGGGGGTGTTCTGGGGGTGGAGGGGAGGGGAGACAGGAAGAGTGAGTGCTGGGGCCCAGACTGACAGGAACCTCACTGCCAGGGAATGTGCCCCAGGGACCAGTGGGTGGTTATATCACCAGGTGCCAGAGCAGAGGAGGAGGTGGCGGCTGGAAAGCTCAGACTAGCTTGAGGAGTCTACAGCTCTATTGGGAGCCAGACCCCACCACCCACTACCCAGGGGACCCAGGGACAGTGGCAGGTGAGGCCTGGGGAGGGGGTCTCAGGGGGTAAGGGCGGAGAGGGGCTGGGCTGGCTCTGTCTTATCTTGGTTTCACCCTGCCTGTCCTAGCTATCCACACTCAAAGGACTGTAAGATGCTTGCAGTCCTCCCCTGCACTGCTGGTCCCTGGGTGCTAAGGGTGAGGCTGCCCAGCCCCCTGATAAATGTCTTCTGGGGAAACTGAGCAGAGAAGGCCAGGAAAGTGGATCAGAACTCTCTCCAGAATAGGCCTCTCCAGAATCACCTAGGCCTCTCCAATTTCTTACCAGGTGCAGCGGTCATGGTGAGGGTGATGCATCCTTGGAAGTGGACGATAGCCACCCTGATTGCAACCCTGATTCTTGGAATCTCAGGTAACCAGAGTCCCTAAGTGTGTGTGAGGGACTGCCTCTGTAGACCAGGTGAATGTATGATTGTGTCTGTGTGGTTACATAATTGAATATGGGTTCCATAGCTGTGTGTGGACTGGGGAGAAGGTAAGGGCTTCTATTTATTTATTTATTTATTTATTTATTTATTTATGAGGCAGAGTCTCACCGTGTGGCTCAGGCTGGTCTAGAACTCACTATCTAGACCAGGCTGACCTTGAACTTGTGGCCAGTCCTCTCATACCTGACTCCTAAGGGCTAGGATTGCAGCTGCATGCCATCATGTGTTTTTGCTTTGGTTTTGTTTTGGGTTTTATTTATTTTATTGTTTTAGTATGAATTTTGCATTAAGCATGCCTGGTACCCAAGGAGACCAGAATGGGCGTCAGCTCTCCTGGAACTGGAAACGCAGGTGGTTGTGAGCCGTCATTGTACCCGGGTCTCCTGCAAGAGAGCCTTCTTCCAGACCCCTTATTTTTAGTTTTTGGAACATAATCGCACTTTGTAGCCCAGACTGGTCTAGAGCATGCTCTGTAGCCTGCACTGTCCTGGAACCCTGAAGCCCTGCCTGGCTTTGAATTCTAGTCAGTCTTTCAGCTTCAGCCTCCCACGTTCTGGATTACAGGTGTGAGCAAGTGTGACTGACTCGTGTGTGGCTCTTCCCCATCAAGTGGCTGTGCGTGGCAGACAGTGCTAACCCTCAGAGGCTTTGTGACCTTGTTTGGTGCTGTAACTGTGTGGGTGCACACTCCAGATTGGTGCATCTGGCCCGGGGTGCCTCTTTTTGCACATTCCACAGTCTGGAATGTGGTGCAGCTCTGTTCATCACTGTAGATACACAAGACCCTAGTGTTTGTAGACAACCCCCTTTACACGTGAGGGTGTGTCTCTGACAGTACTTGTGATCTTTACATTTGGGGGGCTGTGTGTTTGGATGTGCGCTCATGCAGCTGTATCTAGGGCTGCTGACCCTGCTTAAAGGCACTGAGTGAGAAGTGACTGCAGAAGGTGGGTGCAGCCACTGGGATGATTCTCTTGCACTGTGCCAAGCTGTGAAGAGAACATAAATGTCCTTTAAGTATGGCATGTCGGTATGTCCATGTGCAGAAGCGTGTGCCGTATTCCCATCCACACATGCCTGCCTGTCACTCAGATGCTGGTCAGGTGTATGAGCTCCTGAGGGACAGACCACCTGACACTTGGGGGCAGGTGCATTGGGGCACAGTAAGTGCGTTCCTTGGAATGTGTCTGTGGGTGTGTAGAACACTGAGGCCTCCCTTCTCTGGGTCCTTGGCAGGAACAAGACCAGCGTCTGGACTATGGGGAATGGGGGATGGCGACAGAATGCAGACACGTCTTTACGGGAATTCAAAAATGACCCCTGCTGTATCCCTCCAGAGTCCCCTTTTCCTGTCCTCCTCCCCAAGCTCCATCCAAGAGCTCTGACTCCACCCACTGTCCTCAACTGAGTCCCCAGTTTTCCCCGACTTTTCACTAGGCTTCCGAGCTCAGCTCCACCTTTCAAAGGCGGGGCTCTTTGTGGGACTGATCACCCAAGGGACCTTGGCCTCTCCTCTTCCTAAATTCCAAGTCCTCAGCCTCTCAGGTCTTAAATGTGCCATCCTGGTGCCTCAGCCTCCTGAATAGGTGGGTGACAGGCTTGTGACACTGGACTTGGCTTGACTCCACTTCTGGAAACTAGGTACCAAACCTCAAGCCGACTCTGTCCTTAAGGGCTCTTGTGCCCCCAGGTTACTCTCCTCCTCCCCAGGTAGCATCAACCGAGCTCCAAGCAATGTCAGGAATCCCTGGGGCTTCCAAAGTCCAGGGAGCCAATGGAACTAGAAATCTGTCCTAAGCCCCAACTCCCTGGCTGAGTTGCCTTTCCGCTAGTTCTACAAGCTCCTTCGCTGCAGCCTTAACCCTGCCCACACGACTCTGACCCCGCCCCTACAGATCGCGCCACACCTGACTGACCTGGCCCCACCTCTACCTCCGTCTTGGTCCAACTTCTACAGCTCTGACCCTACCCTTCCGTCCTAACCTCACACCTGCACCTCTGTTATCTACATTCTAGGACCCAGTCCTTCAGCCCTCGCCCAGTCCTATAACCCCCGGCCTCACCTCCAAGTTGAAATTGGTTCCAATTTCTTATCTAAGAGCCTGGGGTCAGACTGGTTGGTTCCAGTTCCTGACTCTGAAAGGGTACCCCTGCACCAGAGCCCCGCCCCTAGCCCATTCTCCACCACTCTTCCTAGAGCCTGTTCTTGCCGACGATGTTTCTGCTTGTGACAACCCCTCTGGCAACCGGCCCTCTGGGGCTAACAGAGACCTCAGCAGGGAGTCCGAGTCAGAGGAGGACTCCAGGTCGGACAGCAGCTCTCGCATCGTGAACGGGTCAGACTGTGAAAAGGACAAGCAACCTTGGCAGGGCGCGCTACTGCTGGGACCCAACAAGTTGTACTGTGGGGCGGTGCTGATCAACCCACAATGGCTGCTCACAGCAGCGCACTGCAGAAAGCCGTGAGTACAGCTGGAGAAAGGGGGATGGGATGAAGCTGGGGACGGGAGAGGAGAGACCCGAGGAGGGGGGGGGGGAGGGAGGGAGGGAGGGAGGGAGAGAGAGAGACTGGGTAAGTTCATAGATGAAAGGCAGAGAAGGAAGATGGGTGGAAGGAAAGAAGGATTCGTGGGCGGATGGGCATTTGGAAGGCGGATGGAAGGATGGAAGGATGAGAGGATAGATGGACACAACAGCATGAGGATTAGGTTAGCGCTGGTAAGAGGGTTGATCTGCGCCTGGGAGGTAAGGATCGGTGGAATTAAAAACTAAAAGGGCTACGTAGAGATAGATAAAGATTGCAAAAGAGGTAAGGAAAGAGGTAAGGAGAGAGACAGAGGTGAAAAGATTATGTAGAGACATAGACATGTGGACCGGAGGTGAGATTGGGACCCATGAAGACAAAGATGAGGTTGGGAAGGGGCTGGGTATAGGGCTTAGATTGGAAACTGGGATTGAACCTGGCTGGGCTGGCAATGGGGATAGTTGAGTGGAGTTTGAGAGATGCATGGTTTAAGGTAAAATGGACTTAGGATTGGATCTAGAATAAAGAATAGTGGGAAGTGTGTTGGGTAAAGAGAAAGAGTTGGGCCAGGACCAGATCCATAAGACAGATGGTGTAGATGGGTTTGTTTATGGAGTGAGAAACGGCTAAACACTTTGGGGTTGGCTTATTGTTTTGTCGTTATTTTGTCATTTTTGAGAAAAGCTCTCGTGTAGGCCAGGGTGGTTTCAGACTAACTGTGTAGCCAAAAATGACCTTGAACTCTGATCCTATGCCTTCATCTCCTAAGATCTAAGACTATCAGCCTGTGTTTCCAGGCCCTGATGAGATGGTTGCATTGGGTGCAGAGGATGATTTGATTATAGGCAAGACATAGACTTGGGGTGGAGAATGCTCACGCTGACAGTTGCCAGAGGTACATACTCAGGCTGCATTCAATGTGGGAGATAGAACGCAAATAGGCCAGAGCTGTGGTGGGGATGGGGGTGCACACAGGGTGCAGATAGACCAGGGCTGTGGTGGGATGGGGGTGCACACAGGGTGCAGACAGACCAGGGCTGTGGTGGGATGGGGGTGCACACAGGGTGCAGATAGGCCAGAGCTGTGTGGGGTGGGGGTGCACACAGGGTAGAGACGGATAGAGTAGAGTTAGGGGTGATGAAGGTGTGGAACTGGGTTCCGAATGGGTAGAGTTGGGGTTAAGACTGGAATAGAGCTGGGTTGGGGACAGGGTTGAGTTGGGGATGAGGATGGGAGGTTCTGAGGTTGGGGATGCAATGAAGTTGGGTAGAAAATGGATAACACTGGGGTTGAGGACGGGTTAGAGCAGGGATGGGGACTGCCTTGGACAGGTGGTCAGAGTTCTGGGCTGGCAGTGATCGTTGCCACATTCCTCAGAGTCTTCAGAATCCGCCTGGGCCACCATTCCATGTCACCTGTCTACGAGTCCGGGCAGCAGATGTTCCAGGGAATCGAATCCATCCCCCACCCCGGTTACTCCCACCCTGGCCACTCCAACGACCTCATGCTCATCAAAATGAACAGAAAAATCCGTGGTTCTCACTCAGTGAAGCCCATCAAGATTGCGTCTAGCTGCCCCGCCCCGGGGACCAGGTGCACGGTGTCTGGCTGGGGGACCACAAGCAGCAGCCACAGTGAGTACACTGCTCCCTCCTGGTTCCCGCTCTCCCAGCTGACCTCGCCACATAGTGCAGGCTATCCTGGATCTCTGCGGCTTTCTATCACAGTCTCGCTAGGGCTCGGACAGCGGGCTTGCTCAAGCACGCCCAGCTATGCTCCTCTCTCACCCTCTGCCCCTCACGATGCTCTTGTTCCGCAGATAACTTCCCCAAAGTCCTCCAGTGCCTGAATGTCACCGTACTGAGTGAGGAGAGGTGCAGGAACTCCTACCCAGGACAGATAGACAAGACCATGTTCTGTGCTGGTGATGAAGAGGGCAGGGACTCCTGCCAGGTAAGCAGTGGGTGCAGCTCCATCTATCCAGAAACATGAGTGGTTGGCATCTATATATTTTATTCATGCGTATGCACTTGTGTCGTGGTGTGTGCATGGCGGTCGGGGGACAACACATAGAGGTCAGTTCTCTTCCTCCACTATGTGGGTTCTCAGGATTGGACTCGGACCACTGGGCTCGGCAGCTAGCACCTTTACCACTGAGCCATCTCATCAGCCCAGCAAGTGCACACAGATTACCTGGACTTTATTAACTCCCATGACCCTTATTTTCATAGAGTTCATGCTCCAGAGTACTGTTCTCTGATGGACACACATCTTGAACCTCCACATTCAGTTTTTGGTTTTCATATAGGAAAAAAATTTTAAAAATGGAAAGAAGTGGGGCATGAGTTGTTATCTCAGATATGGGAGAGATCAGGAAGGATGACAGCCCAAGAGCCAGCCTAGGCTACAGAGTAAGTCCAAGGTTGGCCTGAGCAACATAGTGAGACCTCATCTTAAAAAAAAAAAAGTAAAAGTGAAGCTAGGGGAGCTAGGGGTGTGGTTAGTGGTAGAGCCCTTGTATAGCGTGCTACAAGGCTTGAATTCTATCTCCTGCCTCACAAAACAGTAAATAAATAACCAAGGAGGTGGGATTAACATTAATAGTATATTATACTTAATTAAAATGTCATCTCTTTATGTTCTCAAGTAACATTTTTCAGACTTTAGTTAATATACAACAATTATCAATATACCACTCACACACACATCTAACACACACGCCTTTTACTCTGAAAATCCATCTCAGTTTGCTAGATATACTCAACTACCCCATCACAGTTCAGATCTGGAAGGAGCCGTCAGGGCTGTTCCTTGTGGTCAAATAGGTTGTGCCCTGCACAAAGGTGCTACACCTCAGGGGTCCCCTTTACGTAATTCTGTCTTCAAGCCTGTGATGGGTAAATGTCTCATTGTAACAGAATTCATTAGATGATAGTCTTCTAATAAATGCTTATAAAATGTCATAAAAAAAAGAAAAAAGAAACCCGTTTTAAGTGTTTTAAGAAGAGTGTCTAGGAAGTGTTGAAGAAGCAGAAAGAAAACAGAATCCTATGGTCAGGACTAGAGAGGTGGCTCAGTCATTAAGAGCACGGGCTGTTCTTCCAAAGGTCCCAAGTTCTGTTCCCAGCACCCACATCTGTAACTTCAGCTTCAGGGAATCTGACACTTTCCTCTCAGGTACCTGTACTCACATACATATACCCACACACAAATTCACACATGTACACGCAATTTAACACAGTGGTTCTCAACCTTTGGGTCGTGACCCTCTGGGGTGAGAGGACCCTTTCACAGCGGTCACCTAAGACCATCCTGCATATCAGCTATTTGTGATTCAAAACACTAGCAAAACTGCAGTTCTGAAGTAGCAACAAAAATAACTTTATGGTTGGGGGTCACCACAACATGAGAAACTGTATTAAAGGGTTCAGCATTAGGAAGGTTGAGAATCACTAATTTTTTTTTTTTCGAGATAGGGTTTCTCTGTAGCTTTGGTGCCTATCCTGGAACTAGCTCTTGTGGACCAGGCTGGCCTCGAACTCACAGAGATCTGCCTGTCTCTGCCTCCCAAGTGCTGGGATTAAAGGCATGCGCCACCACTGCCCGGCGAGAACCACTAATTTTACATGAGAAAAAAATCTTTTTAAAAAGGACAGTAACAACTTTTAGAAACTCCTTTGGTCGAGACACTTTACAAGTAGTGCTTTTTCAGGAAGCTCTACGGAGTCACTAGAAAAGACAATGCAAGGGCCAGTCTTTGTGGTGGCTGTGGGGAGGACTCCTTAGTCTGGATGTTATAGGCAGAGCATAAAACTCCTGGAGCCAGACTCACACAGGCTAAGGGCCCAGAAAAGTTCTGTGCAAAGGCAGCAAGGGAGCAACTGGACTGACTTAAAGAATGGAAAGGAATCATTATTTCTTGGGCACAGTTATATGGGGGGAAGCTGGGGTAGCGACTGGTGGATCTCTGAGGCTTGCTGGCCAGCTGGATCAGTAAGCTCCAGACCACTGAGGCTGTCTTCCAATCTCCACGTGTACACTCACACATGTACACGCACACACACACACACACACACACACACACACACACGCACCAGCAACAATAACAGCAAACAGCTGCAAGACCAGCGGCGCTAATGACATCACTGTGATGGCTGACTGCGGGCGGGCTTCCTCTCAGGGCTCTAGCTCTCAGGCAGCAGCTGTTGTGAGCCTTGGTTTACAGCCTCAGAGAAATTGACCAGTGGACTTTCAGAGCTCAGGGCAAAGACTTAAAGGAAAACCATTGAGACGGCATCTAGGCCTGTTAGCATAGGACTGTCATCCCAGTTGTTCAAAAGGTTAAGGCAGGAGAATCACAAGTTCCAGTCCAGCCTGACCTTGTCTCAAAACAAACAGCAGAAATAAACAGAGGGAGGAGAAAGACAAGGAGGGCAGGGGAGAGAAAAGACAGAAAAAGCAGAAAGGAAGGGAGAAGGAAAGAAAGAAAGGAGAAAGGGAAGGGAGGGAAGCAAAGATAGGAGATGGATGGATAGATAGATAGATGATAGATAGATAGATAGATAGATAGATAGATAGATAGATAGGGATGGATGGATGGATAGATAGATAGATAGATAGATAGATAGATAGATAGATAGATAGATAGATAGATAGATAGAGATGATGGATAGATAGATAGATAGATAGATAGATAGATAGATAGATAGATAGATAGATAGATAGATAGATAGATAGATAGATAGGGATGGATGGATGGATAATGGGGAGATGGGAGGAGAGGAGACCGTCTAGGATCTTGTGAGGAGAGAGCAGACGAGGAAGCTGGCAGGGATGGAGCTGGGACGAGGTTAGGGTGTTGATTAGAGCCTGACTGGTGGGCTTTCTACAAGCTGAACCCAAAGTGAAATGCTAACAATGTCACCTCCTGCTCCTCCTCCTCCTCCTCCTCCTCCTCCTCCTCCTTCTCTCTCTCTCTCTCTCTCTCTCTCTCTCTCTCTCTCTCTCTCTCTCTGTCTGTCTCTCTCTGCCTCTCTGTTTGATCTGCGTTGAATCCTGTCTGTCCGCTCCCCCTTTTCGTGCCTGCTTCCTGCGTCCCAACCCTTCTGCATCGATGCATGGTGCTGGGTGTCCTGTTCCTTCTCATTCTACCTGATCACATCCCTGCCCCCTTCCGTGTGCCTCCATTCTTCCCCAACAGGGTGATTCCGGGGGACCTGTGGTCTGCAATGGCCAGCTGCAGGGCCTTGTGTCCTGGGGTGATTTCCCCTGTGCCCAGCCGAACAGGCCAGGTGTCTACACCAACATATGTCAGTTCGTTAAGTGGATTGAGGATACCATCAAATCCAACTCATGAGCCACACCAGGACCCATCAGCCAGCATCATAGCATCATCCCACTACAATGAAGAACACTGCCATTGAAGATGCTGCGGACAGATGTCTCCTGACATCAAGATCCTCGTCCCAAATGGTGGACAGGCTCTGTTCCTATATCCAGACCCCAGGGACACTTCCTGGAATGACATGGGTTGGGCTGAAACCTATCATCTTCAGTAAATCAATCCACAAACCCAGAGTTGAGCCTTTTCTGCAGCTATAACCCAGATTTAGACCCAGAAATAAAACCATGGGAAGAACCTCCTCGGTACGTCTCCTCCTGTGTCCTGCTGCTATGCGCAAGTGCTGTCTTAGATACTTTTCTATTGTATGCTAAGACACGAAGACAAAGGCAACTTAAAGAAAAAAGGAGCTTATATGTGGCTTACTGTTCAAAGAGTTAGAGTCCATGACCATTATGGGGTGGAACATGTCAGCAGGCAGGAGGCATGGTGCTGGAGCAGTAGCTGAGAGCTCACATCTTGAGACACAACCACATGACAAAGGAGAAAGCTAACTGGGGGTGTCCCAGGCATTTAAAACCGCAGAGCCCACTACAGAAACACACCTTTCCCAACAACACTGTACCTCCTCATTCTTCCCAAACATCTCTACCAATTGAGGATCAAGCATTCAAATATATGAACCTGCGGTGACCATGCTCAGTCAAACTCACACCAGCTTCTCCTCCACAACAATGGACTTGCAGGGGTCCTTTGGTGACTTTACATTTTCTTTACAAACAGTAACTCCCTTAGTTACTTTTCTATGTCTGTGGCCCAGCACCTGACAAAGGCAACTTAAGGAGAAAGGATTCACTCTGGCTCACGGGTCCAGGGTACAGCCTATCATGGTGGGAGAGCAAACTAGGAGCTTGAGGTGGTTGGTCACACTGCACCCAGTCAGGAAGCAGGATGAGCACTGTACTTCAGTGACTTCCTCCTCTTTAGCCAGACCATGACCTCAGCTTTATGGGCTGGTGCTGCCTACATCCAGGGTGGGCCTTCCTACCCCAACTAACCCCCTTGCAGACAGTCCCAGAGGCTTATTTCCTAGGTGACTCCAGATCTTATCAATCAATGCTACTAACTAACCAATATTCAAAACTTGCTGCGTGATAGGAGCATAGCAGCCCCCCAATTACAACTCAACCCTAATTTCTTGAGTATGTGACTAAGTCCCCAATGCACGATATTCAACCTGGGATTTTTTAACTGCTCTAAAAACAATGTCCATTCAATCAAAGCCTCACCTCAAGTGCTGACTCTTGGTCTCCCCAGCTAGTGATGCGCAGTCTGATACTATAGTTTGGCTATTAAGTGACTCCTAAAAGGCCCCTGCGTCAAGGGCTGGTCCAGGCTGGCAGTGATCTTAGGAGCTGCAAGACTTTGAGAGATAGATCCCAGTGGAAGGAAGGAAGTTAGGTCACTGTGGATGAACCCTTGAAGAAGGATGATGTCAGAACCTTAACCTTTCCTCTCTACTTCCTGGTCAGCATGGTTTGAGCAGCCTCTTCCACCTCCTGTTCCCGCCTTGATGAACGAGTTCACTGCAGACCCAAAGGCCTGATGACTTGAAACCTCTGAAGGCCAAAACCTAATTAAACCTTTCCTCTGTCTAAGGCATTTACCTCGGGTATTTTGTCATGGAAAGCACAGTGACATAAATGTTCTCTCTTAATGGACAGAGGCAAGAAGCCAGCCTCCCTCACCCTTGAGGCTACAGCAGAAGCAACTCACTACACATGGTGTGCAGTTGTCTGGGACAAATGGGGTGCTGTGAATGAATCTGTGGTTCATACAGGTGTTTATTTCTATTGTATGTGTATAGGTGTTTTTGTCAGCATGTGTGACTATACCCTACCTGTATGCAGTGTCCCCTAGAGGCCATTTTCTACTTCCCAAGTGCTGGAATTAAAAACTTATATCACCATGCCGGGCTCACTTAGGTTCTTTGTTTTATTTTGTTTGGTTTGGTTTGGTTTGGTTTTT